CATTGCTATGCTATTGTTACCTACACATGTACATGTTAGCTAGCTCATTATAACTACCAAATAGTTGAAATAACTGCATGGTAAAATGGTGATGAAAGGACTCTGTGGCTTCCTCTGTAATATTTCAGTTCATGTCTTCTGTTAGTAAACATTATAATTACTTTGATATTAACTGAATTTAATCATTCATAATCATTCCCTTTATATCAAAAAATAACTACAGATTATACTAAAGTTGTTGCAGCACAAATAAAACACAACAGATACTAAATTTATTCTGATTTTTGTGTTGCAAATACATGCCTCATTAAATTTAAACTGGTAGAAAACTAGGAGAAAAGTGTCAGTTCCTGGCATGGATTTTTTCTACTTGTTCAAAGTCAAAACAGGCTGGTGTTGCTGGGTTTTTCAGGCATTTTTGACCATATTAGCTCCAGCTTTTGTTTTCACATGCAGTTGTATTTTTGTGTTCAGATCCCATGCTGAAAGAATTGTTTGTTGGATTCAAATCCTTTGTGCTGAAGCACAACCGTCTTCAAACAACAGAATACTGAATTAATGCTTTCTCTGACTCCTCCGAGGTGCAGGCCTCTGTCTCCTGCCAAGCTTGTTCTGTCTGCTAACACCCACGTACTGAATGCAAACATGTCATCATGCTCCACACTGTGGGATAAAAAAATTTGATACCTTCTCTTCTTAACAAGGGGTAGGTCTGATCTCCTCCGTAAAGCTGTCGGCTTGTGATTCAAGCGACGGTGTATAACATCATTTGGCCTTTGAATCTTTACTCAGAGCAGAAAGTTACTCAGCAGAGCTCTCAGTTTGGAGTGGAAGTGTTTGAAGGATGTGTGCACAGTTCTGATGCTAACCTTATCCAAAAGTGCTGCTGTAGATCCAAAGGAAACAAATGTTGAAGTCAAATGTCCCTCTAGGATAAGAAAAGCACTATTTCCATTCAAATCAGACATCGTTGTTGGCAACAGAGTCTTTTGGTCTTTAGCAAAGGTTGTGCACAAAAAGCAATCCGATTCTGCGGTTGTGTACAAGACTCTGCCAGACAGCAATTGATCTTTGTTGGTGTCTATTTAATCTTGGGGACAGTAGAGGAGAAAATACTGTATTTGTTGCCACCACTCATTTATCTCCGCCTGTGTCCAAGCATTTTGGACTTACTGCTTCCTCTAGCTTGTTACCTTAGGCACAAATTACAACATGGATAGATACTATCAGAAGGCATTGACAAATGTTTATTAGTGCCTTTTGTGTCTTTAAAAGACTTTATTCAATAAAACCAGCTTTGTTAAAAGGTAATTCATGTAGCTTTTGAATGAATTGATTATCACCAAACGACACCTGATCGGCTATGAGGATTTTGTTGCTTGTATTTTGCAAGAGCAGAAAGCAACAGGAATGTGAGTTAACAGAGAGCCGACCCGCTTTTACAGATGGGTTGGTAGAAAATCAGCCTTTTATATGCAAATAATGATCTAATGCAGCACAAAAAGTAGGACCCTTCTGGGTTTTTGGATAAATAATCCCATTTTAGCCATTTTTAATCATTTCCACGTTGGGTCCCCAACTGGTTTTACACAATCACCTTCAAATGTGCATCCAGTCTTTGAATAGACAAGTACAGAACCTTCATTTTGTTTTCCGAAGACATCCATAGGCAGACTTCATGGTCTGCTTTGTCGTACTGCATAACCAAGGTCCTCTTCGCCTGACTTAACAACAAAATTACCAAACATTCAATTTTAGGATAATCTATGGTTCCATCAACAACAGAAAAGCCACAAACCATCAACTTACCACCACTGTGCTAATCTGCTGGTTTATGTAACAGGATGCACGCCTTCCAAAAATGTTTCACTTCTGTCTTTCTTAATATTTTATGAAAGGTTTTGTATTATCACGATGTTTTATTGGCTAATGTGAGATGGCCCTTTGCCATTTTAGCTCAATCAAACTCTGGAAGTGTCTTTGTAAACCTTTCCAAACTGATGGATGCCAATCACTTCCTCTCTTCAGGCTGAGGCAACATGTTGCATTTTGAGACCGGTTAGCCTACTTCATGTTGTCAAACAGGCCCTTATGAAGTGATTCATCATTGTTCAAGTCTGGTATTACTTGGTTTGGAATATACAATGTTTACAAATATTACAGTCTTTGGACTGTAAAAATCATGCATTTTTCTAAATAATTCACAGAAAACTAGCCAAATTCTGGTTTTTTTTCTTGGAGCGTGTCAAAATATCTGGCAGGAAGCTACCTGATGCGTCATTGGCTGTTTGCAAAGCAGCCAATCCAGGAGCTCGGTTTATTTTCCCTGGCACTGATTGGTTGAACCCCAAGAGGGGAAATAAGTAAGACCATAGATGGTTACTTCTGTTGTAGTGCTAAGATAATGTATTGTTGCATATTAAGGTAGTTTTGGTGTTTGAACTGTTGAAATAAAGAATTAGAAGTATGCTGAATACTAAGCAGTAACTGTTTTGCATAAATATACATACCTTTCTTTAATGTTTCTTTTATAGCATCAAAACACATGCTAGTGAAGTTCTTCCTTCCAGAAATAATATAACTTTTAACCATTTTGCCTCAATGTGATGCATCACTTTCCATCGCATAATCAAGACTTGACCTCATTCTTTGGATCAAATCCCAACAGTGTAAATTTAAATAACTGTGGCTTAAGGAAGGCAGCAGAGCTACAGGCTCCAGACCCGTATTATTGTACATTAGGCATTTTCTGCTTTAAGCACTGAAAAATGTGCAGAAACACACCAATCACTGTAAAATTACCGGGTCATGTGAGGCTCAATGATGTGCTCAGCTGCTTGTGTAAACAGCCTAACATTTGGATGTTTGGATGCTGATGAGGTCGCCGTGGTAACGAGAGGAGCGCCTGAGCTCCATCGCAGGGCCAGGTAGCATTTCACAGCTAATTGGCTTAATAAAAGGAGCTTAAGGTTGCAGATTATGGTTAAAAATAACAGGAAGTGATGATTATGTTGGCTCCAATCAAGTTCAGATGAGGTTCAAAGTCATATTTTTACAGTACAAATACACACTTTGCTGTGTTTTGAGCTTTTCACATGACAGTAACGCAAAGTAATGCATAACTGTGAAGTGGAAGTTAAAGTAACTGGTTTTCTAAATATTTAGTATATTCTCTATATTCAGTTAAATAAAATCCAACTTCTTTGGATTTGGTGACCAGAGTCCACTGTGTCATTTAACTTCAGAATAATCCCTGATGCAGACAGAGAGGAGTAGAAAGTTGTGGGCTTGATTTCGACTCTGAGGTACACTGAGATATTGTATTGGTTTGAAATACAATATCTAAACAGTAGTTATGTTAAAACACTTTGTGGTCCATATTATGAGATAAATTGCATGTAAAATGTGCAGAAGTGATCTAACTCTTCCCCATTGTGAAACATGGCGGTGGTAGCATTATGCTATGGGTCTGTTTTTTTCATTAGGGACATTACGTTATGTCATACCTGCTTGTCTGCATTGGTCCTTGTAGACAACTTTATGGCTTTATTTGTACAATTTTTAGCTCTAATTTGAGTTGTAGTTTTTATTTCAGCCTCTTGGGGGCAATAATGTTCTGGTTTGTATATTGTCTGATCAAAGAAGAAGAGCAATTGGAAAATTGTAGATTCTGACAGTTGAAATTTTTGTTGGCTTGTTGTCTCTTGAAAACACCAAATCTAACTTCATTTCCTCAAGGTGAACTTTGTTGTTTTTCTTCTTCTGCTCATCATCCAACCTGTTGTCTTTGGTGCCACCTTCTGACCGGGATGATAATTGTCTCTGAAAACATATACAGGTCACAGAATCAGGTCTCAGGTGTCCACAGAGACAGGTTAACCCTGATGGTTGCGGTCTTGATTCGGTGGAAGTGAATTCTGGTGCGTTTTCAAGCATATATGAACACCAAGTGGACCAGAAACTACTTCTGAAGACTACAGTGCAGGGTATTCTGGGTAAATACAACCAAAACAAATGCACTAGAAATGACTTTGTATCTTTTGCAAAAGACTAAAAAGAAATCCTACAACCGCTAACCTACCCCTCCATTTGTGTTTACATTTTAGAAAGAAGGAAGTTACAATCAGTGTCTTCAAAGGTTTTCATGTTGTACTTTCCATGGTTCTGGGTGCAGCGCCCCCACAGGTGAGGAGGGGAACAGGTTTCCCCAAAGGCTTTGGTTGATTTGATTCAGTGCAGTGTGAAAGAGAACCGCAGCAGCTGGAAGTGGAACAAATGTTGCAGTTTTGGTCCTTAATGGAACCGAAGCTACCGGACCACCAGGTGTCAAAACACAACCAGGCTCCGTCCACACAGGAATGTTTTTTTTGGGTTAAAATCATTTCAATTGTTTTTGCCCTGGTTCCAGCCTGAAAATGTAATATTTATCAGCATCAGTGAATTAGGTGTTTGTCTTCTACTTCATTATTTTTATAATCCAAGAAGAAGCTTGACTTTGTTGTTCACTGTTCTTGTTCTCTTGTGTTCAGTGTGGAGACTTTGTCCTGTACTCCACGCTTAGCGCCACTTACAGGACTGGGGAGGAAAAACAGCATCTAGCCCGATTGTTGAAGGGAACATTTCAGTAAACTGCTCAACAGAGCAGCACATAAAAAGAAAACTGAAACTTTAATTTTGTGGACGTTCTGTCCCCAGGTAAAGTACATCCCCTTCCCTTCCGCCATCCTGTCACGGTATGGGTACCTCTGTTTGAAGTGTGAAGTTGTCTTCATCAGAGGAAGACCTCAGCGGGTCGGTTCGGAGGGTGCAGCTCTGCATCCCTCCTCTTCCTCGCTCCTCTTCCTCGCTCGGTCAGCGCGTGCCTCTCGGATGGAGTAGCAGTAACCGCGCAGCGCGAGCTCTCTCTCTCTCTCTCTCTCTCTCTCTCTCTCTCTCTCTCTCTCTCTCTCTCTCTCTCTCTCTCTCTCTCTCTCTCTCTCTCTCTCTCTATCTCTATCTCTCTATCTATCTCTCTTTCACTAACGGCTGAACAGGAGCAGTGACAACTCTTCCTCCTCCTCCTGGCGGGATGGAGGGGTGCTGATCGGGAGCCGCTTCATCATCACCGTCATTACTGTCAGCACCGCCATCACCATCATCATCATCAGCACCGGGAGCGGAGGGAGCGAGAGGGAGGAGCAGCTGCTCTCTGCGGGCTTAAAAAGTTGAGGAGGATCCGGTTTATCACCGGAGCTCCGGAGGGGCTCGGACCGCTGACACGGTGCCTCTGGATTCTCTGGGAAACCCGCCCGCCGTGGTTCTGGATGGATTCGTTCTGGATTCCGGGTCAATAACGGACCTGCTGTTTTTGTTCATCGCCCAGAACCTGCTGTCCGGCGGATAAATAAATACTTTGTTGTTAATTATGTTTAACGGTTCGGCGGGGTGGTGACTGTTCCCTGGAGGATTTACGGGGACCTGAACGGATCAATAACGGATTTTCAGACGTGAGTCCGGTCCGGCGGCTTTCCGGAACGACTTTCACCGAGCCGAGCCAGGTCCAACGGATCCCGGGACGGCTCCTCGGTGAGCGGCGACCGGCCTCCGCTTCCCCCGGGCGGAGAGGGCGAAGCGCGGGCAGCACAGCAGGTGTCAGGAGGGAATGTCCCCGGGTCTGGACAGGAGGGACCGAAGATTACCGAGCGCTTCCGAACGAACCCAACGGCGGGAAAACGGGAGAAGTTCTCCGAGGATTTTATTGTTTCTTTAAAATCAGCAAATCTTTATTGAGCAGATTAGTCTGTTCTCAGTAACGATCGAGTCATCCTCAAAATAGCTGCAGGATAAATTTTCCAAATCTTCACCTGTTATTTATATCCTATTTATGGATTTAAACCAAACAGTTAAATCAGTTTATATCAATAAATACCTATTAAAATGTAATCTGTTATCAATAAACCCTAATCCAATTTTAATAAATGTCAATTCCAGTTATCGATACATTTCAAGTCTCTTAACTTCAGTTCTAATCCCATTTTAATCAACATCAACCCCTTTAATCCTGATTATCAGTCAGATTTAATCCCATTTATCAATCAGTTCTAAAGCCATTTCTGTTAGTTTTAATCCTGATTATCAATCGATTCTAATCCCATTTCAATCCATCTGCCACACCAGGCGGGAGGAGTGAACGGTCTCTTCCTCTGTGAAATAAACCCACATGCTGGCTGTAAATTATCCACTTAAACCTCTCCAGAGTAGAAACTGTGAGCCAGAGCCTGCAGTGAGGGTTATTAAGCGCCACATATTACCACTAAATGCTCTGATTATTTCTAATAAGAGCAGACAAAGCTTAAACTACTCATCTGGATAGTTTTAACATTTTTCCAATAAACTTACACTAGAAATTGAACTTTAAGCCTGAAGAAATTTAGCAAATCCTGCAAACAGTGGCTTTTGTCTATTAGAATGAATTTATGATGCAAACTCTGTTAGTAAATGAGATTTTGATCTAATTTAAAAGTCCTGACTCAACAGCTCCACTCTGACCTTAATGTTCAGGAAGGCGTTTTAATCTCCAGCTGTGTCGTCGTTTTAAACCCAAGAGGGTCTGAATGGGCTTTATTTATGCTTTACTGCAGGTCTGGAGGAGCTTTAACTCTGAGCAAATTAACTTTACAGCCACCTGCGGACAATAAGCCGAAGCTTGGGCTCTCCTGCGTTCAGTGAAGCTTTGGTTGATGAGCTCTCTTGTTGGACGTGTAAAACTCAGCTGAACTCTTTCATCCTTTTTTGTTTTGATGCAACTTCTGCTAAAAAAAAAGTCAGGAAAACTGAGTATTTTTCCGGTGGAGGTTTCTAATTTAGCTTCGGCAGCTGGTTTTCTGTGAGACTCTATGGATGGTGTTCTCGCTGGATATCCACATCCTCAACTGCACACCTCCTCTTCTTCCTCCTCCTCATCGTCTTTCTCCCTCTCAGTGTCCTGTACAGGAGAAATCGAGCCATGATACATTGATTTTCTTCTCGCCGCAAAACCAAAACGCACACGACCATCTCATCCATCCTGGCTTGTCAGGTTCGTTGGCTGAAATGTAAGAAGGGGTCAGTCCTGAAGGACGTTTATCACCGTCCGACAGTTAGGTCAGAGGTCATACCAACAAGCAAGCGGCTCAATCACCCATCAAATCATCTGGAAACCAGTCTGATCGGAGCGTAGATGAATGCTTTTCTGAACTGGTTTCCATAGGAACGTTTAATGCTCAATGGGACTCAACGACAGCAGCCCCGGCGCCATGCGGAACGGCCGCGGCCTCTCCGACCAGTGGGCGGAGTCGGTGGTGGTCCGGCCTCGTACCACAGAGCGCCACATCACGGTGCACAAGCGTCTGGTTCTGGGCTTCGCCCTGTCCATCATCACCCTCATAATCGTGACGGCGGTGGCTGTGGCGCTCAGCGTCCGCTTCGATGACTGCGGTGGACAGGATCGTGGCGGAGGCAGAGGGGAGACGGGCTCCAGAGGGTCCGGAGGGTCGGGAAGACTCAACGGGAGCAGAGGGGAGAGGACGGGAGACAGAGGAGACGAAGAGGTGGTGCAGCCATGGAAAAACTCCCGGCTTCCGGGGTCAGTGAGGCCGCGGCACTACGACCTGCGGCTCTCCGTCTACATGGACAACTTCACCTTCTCTGGAGAGGTCAGCATCGAGCTGGAGTGCTTCAACGCCACCAGGTTCATCGTGCTGCACGCCGACCGCCTTGAGGTATGTTGGCATGAGTTTCCTCTAATCTCAAGGGAGGTTAGTGAACTTTGAGTGTCTGAAACTACTCAGCTTACGGGAGAAGTTCTGGTGCAGAGTGAACTCCTAAAAGCATCTTGAGTCATCAAGGTAGATTGAAGGCGACCAATTGTTCCAGAGCACTCTGAACCTGATGGAATCAGAACCTGATGGAATCAGAACCTGATGGAGTCAGAACCCGATGGAGTCTGAACCCGACGGAGTCAGAACCTAATGGAATCTAACCCGACGGAGTCTGAACCCAACTGAGTCTGAACCCGACGGAGTCAGAACCCGACGGAGTCTGAACCTGATGGAATCAGAACCCGACGGAGTCTGAACCTGACTGAGTCTGAACCCGACGGAGTCAGAACCTGATGGAGTCAGAACCTGATGGAATCAGAACCCGACGGAGTCTGAACCCGACGGAGTCAGAACCTGATGGCGTCTGAACCTGATGGAGTCTGAACCTGATGGAGTCTGAACCTGATGGAGTCTGTGCTAGAACCTTACATTCAGTTTTTTAAGCTTAAAAATGTGGTTTTATTGACCCTTTGTATCCATCACCAAATCACACTGAGGCGCCATGACAAACGAGAGTATTGAAGGCAGCGACTGATTCCTTTTCCCACTATAGCCTTGGCTTCAACTTGGTGCAGTTAAGCTTTTGTTTTTACAAAAGTTGGAGATAACTAGATTGGAAACTTATCCATAACTTTTCCCTCCTGACATGTTTGTTGATTTGTCTTAATTCATGCCGCATGATTTGTACCACTGATTTATAAATGCTGTTTACGTCTGGTGGAAACTTAAAAGCATCCAAAAGTCCAGTTTTCTTCTTACATTGTAGGTTAGAAACGTACCTTCTCCATAATGCAACATTTGATTTCATGTTGCCAATCCTGCAAAAGAAGTATAAATGTTAATCTTATTATGTTTGCTCCAAACATTCAAATCCTTAAGATCGACGCTCCATTTTAAAAGGTTTACCAAAGAAAGTTTGGATGTGGTTTGTTCCCAGGTTGTTTTTGGCGATATGTATGTCGCTCAGTATTTAGAAAATTTGTAAATAACTTAGAAATTGAGCTACCTGGTTTGTGCAGCAGACGGCGCAGTAACTTTAGACCATTTTTACAGTGAAATACACCAAATATATCAGGCTACCTACTGTCTGTTTGTGACCAGCTTTTTAATTGGCATCTAGCTTGTTTTGACATCTGTCATGGCGGACTGGGGTTCTTTCTGAAGAGCTTGACGTCACACGCAAAAGGTCAACACCTCAAAAGTCCAGATATGACTTTTATTGGACAGAGATGGTAAACTTAAATAGATCTGAGAACCACAATGGTCCAATAAATCCTGACTTTACTGAGTAAAATCTGGAGCCGTTACAACTTTGGTAACTTGTCTTGATCAATTCATCCTAACAGATGAATTGTCCTGTAATAAACTCCACAGACAATCTTTCGTTGCTGCAAATGAATCTTGAAATTTTAATTGTACTTTATGTCTTCCGGTTTTGTTGCTGAATAAATATTCATTGGATTTGTTCATCCGTCTCCTTCGCGCCTGTTTACAGCAGTAGGTTGCAGCATTTATGACGGCATAAATTTATTCAGAACTGTATTTATTTTCCAAAGTAAACAGCGTCCAGAGGCTGGAGAGACACTTCCATTACATGGCGAGTTAAAAATTTGCCTCAGAAATTCAAACAAAGCTGTAAATTATTCTGAATGAAAATGGAAAGTTAAAGTTAATCACAACAAACCTCGTTTATGTATTTATACCGCTGTATTTGGAGCCACCATTTTTTGACACTTTTGCTGTATTTTATTGACTTTATTGAGATATAATTCAACATTTTTAGTGAAAAAACCCACACATTTGAACTTTTTACATATCTTTCTATAAACGCTTGAATGAGTTGTTCTCAGTAGTTGTTCTCTGAGTTGTTCTCAGTAATCAGCTCTTCTGTGAAATCATGTTGGTGACATTTCTGAACCAGACCAGTGACCTCATTCTGTAAAAACCCTTCCAGTCAGAAATGATTCTTGTTATGGTTATAATGGAGCCAACATTAAGTTCAGTTCATTCATGTTTATGGTTCACTATCAAATCATGCTGAAGTTCACATCTCAAATATAAACTTGTTCTTCATTTGTCATATTTCACTTCATTCAACAGTTGGCACATCAATTATATCATCACTTAGTCCCTTGGCACCTCATTTATCTCTGTTTAATTATGTCCTGACCAATTCACATCTATGCTGTTGTTTCTGCTGCTTATCTAAAGGTGGGATATGATGTCATAATAAGATGCTTGTACTTCAGGTTTGTCATGTAGGAAACAGCCTGAATCTGGAGACTTGTTGCACTGCGTTGTTATCTAGCAACCCAAGCATAGCTCCGCCCACATCGTTATTAGACTTTGTCCACACATAAAATATTTATAAAACAGTTGGATAGTTTTCAGAAAACCCACACAAATATGCTACTCAATTGTTTTTAACATGCCAAACCCATAGGGGGCGCTGCAGTGCAACGCCAAAACCTATATAAGCCAATCAGAATTGTTCCAGGCAAACACAACTTCCTGTTAGGAATATAACATGGCATCAAGAGGTTTATTAATGTAGTCTGATCTACTTTAGAGTATTGTTTTGGAATATAAAGTTTATAAGGTGCAAATCAATGTCGACTGTGAATTGTGTCAAAAGAAGAATGGATATATATATATATATATATATATATATATATAATATATATATATATATATATATATATATATATATATATAAAATATAGAAACTCTATCTCAAATCTCCACTATGTTGAATTTTCATTAAGAACCATTTTTAGTGACATAAAACTGAGTTTTTATGTGAATGAAAGTCCAAAACGTATAAAAATGTATTTGTTTTTTCCGGATATCTGGCTACATGTGGACTATGCCTTTGAAGAAGAAAACATTTGTTCACAATGGCTGCTGGAACAAAAACCAAGAGTTGCTGAGTTACAATCAATCAATTTAATTTATAAAGCACCCTTCAGACTAAAAGCAGCTCAAAGTGCTACCCAGAAATCTTTCTGCATGCATTTTCATGTGTTTAAAGTATGAGAAAGCATTTAGGTAGGGGTGTGGCCAGTAAGAGCTTATTTGCATAAAAGTGACAGAACCCAAAAGGTTTCATCCTGAAAGGAGAGCAGAATAACCAGAACTGAGCAGACTAAAACCTCGTTATCTGAGAACCATTTTGATCAAAATAGGTGAGGATTTGAGCTTTTAAAACAGTAGCCATCACGACTTTACACAACTGTGTCTTTACCTTCGTGGCAGAGGCTCCGCCGAACCCGAGACTGACTCATCGAACCCCTGGGGTTCAATCGAACCCAGGTTATGAACCACTGCTTTAAAAGAAAGAACAATAGATTCTCTTTAATGATTGTATTGTCTCCATTTGTTGATAGCTACTAGTAGCAAGGTCTACCTGATGAAGTTGAATTTGAGGACATTGTGCTGACCCATTTGGACCACCAGGAAGGATGTGCAAAGATGGATCGACATACCCGATGACCTGAATCAACCAAATGTGAACAAACCCTGGTTTTTGTCAGCTAAAGCCAAACTTAAACCTTACTTGAGTTAGAGACTTGCATCATAAAATGCTGCGACTTCTGAGTGTGTATTCATGCATTTTAAATGAAGCTGAAGCCTTGATAAGCATTTCCTTAAGATGCTTTTCCAAACAAGAGTGTGTTTTCAGCCAGATGTCTGCTCTGCGTCTGGAAGAAAACCCCAAACAAAGAAACCCTATTCCCACTTTCGGCCTCCCAGATTCCTCTAACGAGGCTAATTAGCTGCCAAAGTTGCTGCTTCAGCTTGAAGTGGGATGGCAGAAGAGCGCCTGGGAGAAACGCCGCGGCAACGTGATTTTTCACAGCGCTCATCTGGGCTAATGTGAGAGATGGATAAATGGGTCTAATTTGGGCCAGGGCCAATTAGGAGCCCTGCGGCCTGCCTGGTGTTTGTGTCCGGCTGCAGGTGAATTAATGGCTGTTGCTGGGCACCAGGCAGCCCTCCTAAGGTGTCCTCACACTTAATGCAGTCTGAAAAGGTAAATGGCTGCCAAGTATAAACCCAGAAAGCAAAAAACTGTGTAAATATAGCAGCAGCTGGTGGGGGAGGAGGAGAAAAATGTTGAGATCTTTGGATTTTCGAGCGATTCCAGGGAAAGAAGCGTAGAAGTTTCTGCTGACCTTTTTAAAATGAAAGGAAAGCCCTGCAGGCAGCCGGCGGTTCAGCTCATGTCAATGATAATGAACAAGCGGCGCCTCTTTTCGCTCTAATTTCTGCTTCCTCCGGTCGTGTTCCTGCTGTCCTCCGGCTGGGACGCTGGGACGCTCCGGCCCTTTAAATCACGGATCCTGGGCGCTGGCGTTTTAACACCCAGCCCTCTTAACGTGCGTATTGATTGGTCAGCTGATCTGACAGGACGGTGAGAGTGCAGAGAGGCTGCTGGGAAGCGACTTCACCGCTCTAACCTTGGCTGATTCCTAAAGCAGCGTTTTTATCGTTTTTCCATTACAGCCGGGCCGCGGTTCATTACCGGGTCAGACGGAGCCGTCAGATTTATTATTATTCAAACGGAGGCCGACAGGAATGTCAGCGTACGCGCTCCTGTGATCGCAAACCAAATCTATTTAGGTTGGAGAGTTTTCAGTGACAGGAGTCTGAAACCAAAGGCTGCTGGAGCACGACAATCTGACAGCCAGCGCTGCTTTTCTTCTTCTTCTGCTCTCCATTGATTGATGTTTTCACAGATTCTCAGTTGAACTTGGGCCACGAATCAACTTTGATCCAAGCCATCCCATAATACTTCTGGCTGAATACACCAAGTGACATCCAAATAGAGAAACCCAATTCATATTTTCTGTCAGATTCTTTTCTTGTTTTTTCTTCAGCAGTTCATTCTGAATCCCATCAACCAGCTACATTTCTGGAATCCATTTGCAAATCTGTTAGCTATGTTCATAGCATAATTCAGAAACAATATAGGTGGACATTTCATCAATATCAATGATTAATATGCCTAAGAGAATATTCAAAATATAGAGTATTTTATTGAATTCCAATCCAGAACCACACAGCATTCTGGGAGATGTAGGCAGAGAGAAGGTTTAAGCTGCTCATCCCTCGCTAAGCGAGGTTGGTGGAATCAACTAACTCGCTCGTTCTTTGGTTGCCTAGAAACAACCTGTTCAGTAACTGGTGCAGCAGCAGTTTCAGGTTTTGCCTCTAACTGCTGAAAAATAAAAAAACAATGACTTGAAGAGAAAAAGTGGATAAAACAGGCATTATTTTCAAATTGAAAACAAAAGACTAATCAATAATCATTGATTTTGGCTGATATGGAAGACTTTTATTGTGATAAGTTGTTTGAATAGGTCGAGGGACGAGGACCTAACTGAAATTAAAATGAAATCTGTGAAAATGTTTAAGTCTGCCTGATTAAAAGCAGGACCTAAACAAGTGGTTTTAAACCACAGTGTCTTCTGTTTGTAACTTATTGAATATTGTGACAGTCTTGAAGCTGCTGGCTCCCCATGGTGTCTCCCATCCTGACTGAATCACACCAAGCCGTCCTCAGCGGCTCTTTACCGGCAGCCAGGATAATAAAGAGTTATATCCAGAAACGTATCCATGTTTCCAGCGGGGAGCGTCTCCAAGAGTCCGGCCAAATTAAAAAGCAATTTGAGGCGTTTGAAGGCGCCTTGGAGCTGCTGACTCAGCAGAAAAGCCTGAAACAAATCCATTTAATCCCAACGTTTCCTCTCCGTGTCAGCAGCACCTCTATCCTCATCGACCCATTCCTGAACGCACCGTGCTGCGGGACCAAGCAGCACTCTGCCTCTAATTGGACCCAGAGGTTGGGAAGAGCCCGTCCCAGTAACACCAGTTAGTTAATGAGGGCTTCATTACTGGCTGATAAGTGGTTGAGGTTTGATCCTTCCTTCTGCCAGCTTTCAGAACCACATCTGCGTCGTTTTATGTTCTGTTTGGGCTCCAGGGAGCGCCGTAACTGGGCCAGTCTTAAGTAAATATTAGCAGTGCAGGAGTATTTTGGTAAGAAGGTCAGACGGAGAGTACGCAGCGAGTAAAACCAGGCTCAGCTTCATTTCTGTTCAGGTTCAGAGCAGCGCTGCCGGGCCCGGTGTGAACCAGCCGCAGATTTCAGGAGGAAATGCAGGAAAGTGGAGCAGAATCAGGAAGCACATTCCTTTCATTTCACAGATGTGACTCTGAAAAGTGTGGCGTGCATCTTTTAGTACTTTAAAGGGCTGAAATTGTAATGAATCTATGATTGAAACAACCAAACTAATTTAGTAATCGGTTATGGCAGTAAGTAGTAATTGATTTATCATTAACTGTGTGCTGTTTCTTTTTGTTAAAAATCTTTAGAGCAGTAATTAAGCCATAACTGTACAAAAATATGTACATTTTGCATCTAGAATAAATGCAAAATGTTTTGCAAGTATATATTAGCTGCAGATAAATCCGTTGCTACAAAGGATTCATCAATAATTTAATTATAATTCAATTATTTAGGAAAATAATTGAATTATTTGTTGTACTTGCATCCTTTTGAAACTCAGAAATGTGAATGTTTTTGATTTTGTTTTTTAGATTAATCTAAAACTTCTGTTTTTTTTTGTTTTTTTGTAAATTAACACAATTTCTGAGTTTTTTGATGGAAATGATGAACATTTTCTCTTTTCTCTGAACGATGGCCCTGATATGTTCAGATTGTTTTTGCGAACCTCACACGCTGTAAATGTCGCGCTAATCTCGGTCTCAAGTAAAAACTCTCATTTATCTCAATATTTGTCTTCAATGAGGATGGGCCGGTTCCACAAATCATCTTTCAGTTTTGTAGCTTCCTCTTTGTTGGGTGACTGACGTGACGTCACGTCAAAATGGTCGCCGACGGACGTCAGATGTTTTTACTTTTTAACATCGATTTTGGACAAAATGTCAATTGATTCTGATTAGGAGTAAAAGAGAATCAATGTTCTGAAAACCTTTTTGTGTAAATCAAGACTTTCTGGTGTTTCTGACCGACTGTTAGCTGGACGCGGTAAGTGGCTGCAGAGGAAGAGGAGCTGATGAAGGCGGAAGCTGCTCCAGTCAGGGTCACTTTAAACTCAGCAGCTGATTAATTTCAGAAAGCTGCTCCTTGTTCTTGTTGCGTCATGTCACACTTGAGAAGAAGCGGAGTTTGGATGCGTGTGAAGTGTTGGGTCCTGCTCCGCCCACCGGGCTGACCCAGGAGCCGCTGACCCAGGAGCCGCTGACCCAGGAGCCGCTGACCCAGGAGCCGGTTCGCTGATTAAACCGCTCGGTGCTGAGTGGAGGAGCCGCTTCTCTCCTCCATCTTGTTAGTGACTTTGCACCTGCTTGCTTTGATGGTTTTTTTCCTCCAGCGTGCTCCGAGTTTGGTGACATTTCATTTAATTACCATCCAATCCCCAGTCAGCTTGAACCCGAGCTGCGGTCTAATCAGGCGGGACAAGTGAGAGCACCTGTGATGCTGTGGGCCGTAATGAGCCGCGCGCTGCGCTGCTGTCACGTGATTCTCTGCTCGCGCTCACTGCTTCTGTTTCTTCATCTCATGGTCACTTTGAGTTCACAGCGTTTCCCTTCTGCTGCTATTTGGGGAAATCTGTCAATTAATTCAGTAACATGTCCGTCAGTCAGAGGAACAGCTGGGAGATGAAAGGACTCTCTGTTGTTTATCCAAACAGCAGAGGGCGCTGTTCTGGGAATCACCACACAATCTATTGCTTATTTTAATTCAGAAGAAGAAACAAAAACGTTGCACATTATTCCCATTTTATTAGAGATAATTCAAACATGATGCATTCATGATCTGTATGTAATCAAATTGTTGCTTTAATTATTATTTTCAACTTGAAAACCAACAAAATTTAGTTTGTTGTGCTGCAGTCGGACAAATCAGACACCAAGTTAAGTTTTAAAATGAAATAAAATGCAGTTTTCTGTTTGAAAGTGGAAATTAAACCGTTTTTATTTAGTTTTGGGGTAAAATGTTGGGTGACATGATTCAGTTTGGTTACCTGACAGTGTCATGTTTAACGTGATGTAATGAAACGCACCATTTTGTCTTGTTTCATTTTTGTTGCGTAAGAAACTGTTCTTTGAAGGTGAATGACAAAATGCAACAAGCAGTTAAATGCAGCTTTTGGTGTCATTATTCAACCAAATGGGTTTTAATGAAGGAATGCAGCACAAATCTTTATTTACTGTCTGGGTTGATGTTAGACTGTGAAATATTGCACTCCAATTCAATGAGCCGAAGGTTTTGAAATCATTGCAGATTAAAATGTTGTTCTTCACATTGTTACAGCTTGAATATTTTAAAATGGTTCCAGATAAAATGTTTCTATTTGACATCACTAGGTTGAAATGTTGATGTTTTTCAGTTGAAATCTTTCTTTTGATCCATGTCTGGTTGAATTGTTCTTGGACATTTTTACCATTGAAATGCCATTTTTAATGTCATTATTCATTAACGTTATGGTTTAAAATGTTGCGTTCAGACCAAACCAGGTTGAATCGTTGCTCATGTTGGGTCGCGGCGCTGCAGTCAGCAGGTTGCATGTCAGTGAGTGGAACTGAAGTATCAAGGAATGAAATGTTTGAATCAGTGAGGAAATTAAACATTTTATTCCTTTAACGTTTCATTTCAGAACATTGATTGTTAAACTCCAAACTTCCTCCTCTGTTCAGGTGGACCGGGTTTCCGTGGCAGCGGAGAGCGGCGCCGGCGGCCGGGCCGCCAACAGGCCAGGGGGCGGAGTCATGCGCGTCCACCGCCACTTCCCCTTCCCGGCCAATCAGATGTACGTGGTGGTTCTGCACCGCGAGCTGAAGCCCGGCAGGCTGTACCGGCTCAACGTCAGCTTCGACGCCGCCATCGAGGACGAGCTGCTGGGATTCTTCAGGAGCTCCTACACACTGCAACGGGAGAGACGGTACACACACACACACACACACACACACACACACACACACACACACACACACACACACACACACACACAGAGCAGCAGGTGGTTCAACTAGAAAAGGTCACTGCCTCACACCTACGACATTGATTAACTCTCACACACCATAATGTGTGTGTTGCAGCTGTCAGACCACACACACACACACACACACACACACTCTCACTCCCTCTTTATGAAATTCCCAGAAGCCCTTGTGTTGTTTCCACTTCAGGTTCCCAAGGGACTGATGGGAAACCGGCTTTGAGCTGACGCATGTTTGTGTTAGCGCTCTGTACACAAACAGCTAATTGGCTTGAGTCCAGTTTCCAGGCCCCTGATTGGCTGTTGCTTTGGGTTTCTGATGTAAAATGTGATTCTACAGCTAACGCCTGAGACAGATCACTGATCACTGAATCATCTGGGCTGGTAGCCGGGCCGGGACTCAGCAGCAGACTGACGTTATTTACTGAATATTTGACTAATCTGCAGATAAAGATGATGAGTTTGGTTCTCAATCTTCTCAGGTGAGGTTTTTAAAAACAAAACCTCACCTGAGGCTCAGGCTGGAAGGAGTTATTTTACTCTAGCTTACATCCCACAATGCAACACAAACCTGGCAGCTGCTTTGCTGTAAGCAGCTGCTAACTCTGAGTGCGTCTCAGTTTGGTAGTTTACTGAAGTACAACCACAAAAGCCTGAGGCCTGAAAACATCCTCATCAAGTCGCCGTGTTTCCATTAACTTATTTTTATGACATGTACATTTTGAAGGATTCCAAAATTCAAAATAAGTTCCTCAACAGAACCGTTTACGCTCACTTTTTGGAATTTCTGAAAACAGTTTGTGTTCTAAAAATTAGACGGAAAATGATTTTCTGAATAAATTTTGACGTAGTGACCTTGAAGTCTGATCCCTGCTAATTCATGTTAGCTTGTAACTTCTACTTCCTGTTTATTACAGCCAATAGTGGTGTCGACATCTGAGGAAATTACGTGGCCAATGTTGATTCACTCCAAAAGCCTAATTCACATTTTCTTCTTAGTGATATTTTCCAAAATTTGTCTGAGATACCACTTAAATTTTAAAGCTTAATTTAATTGCAACATATAAGCCTTGGGAGCTGAAGAACGTTTTTTTATTTGTGCAGAATTAGCAAATTTTGCTGGATGATAAATTATCTCTGTAATTATTATGATAAACAATAACATTGTTGTTTTGAGATAATTTACACAGCAGAATTACGATGTAAGTTTGCTCTCTCAAAGACCAAGATTAAACTTTCATTTACAGCAGCAACTAAAATATATTTTAAACATCCAAAATAAAACTAAGTGACCAAAACAATAAATAAAATGGAATAAACACCAATTATTTCAATGTCAAATTTATTTGTATAGCACTTTTAAAAACAAGTTTAAAACTGCACCAATAGAGAGAAATAATGATAATACTTGAAGTAAATGAAAAAAAAATAAAACATCACTACAGAAAAGTTCCAGTATCAGGCCTCAATTAAACAAATAAAAATAAGTTTAAGAAGTGATTTTAAATTACCATAAACATTGATAAAATGCATTATAAAGTCTCTGAACAGTTACTTTCAAAAAATATGAACCAGAATGGAAATGATCAAGCTAATTCTAACTTATCATGCGAATAATTTAATTGCTTTGTGCGACAAGCTGAACATTTCAACTTAACACAGTTAAACTGTTTATGTGGATAAAAGTGAGGTTTGCAGGATCTCTGTGGTTGAACTGGTGGTGGTTGTTGGGACGGAGCTGCTGCCCTCTGCAGGCTGAACACTGCGGTGCACTCTGTTCCTCCACAGGGTGCCGGTTTGTTTGGTCTCCAGTCTGTCTCTCCAGATAAATCTGAACATTTTAACCTGAAATTTGAGCTGTGAACTCTTCTTCTCTGGTTCTGCATCAATCTTTGTTCTGCTCCGATTAATTCTTTGCCTGAAAGGTTTTTTTCATACTTTTCTCGGTTTTCATCATGGATGTAGCTGCTGTCCTGCTGGCTTTATGGAAGCTGTAAAACACAAATGATCAACTGTCCAAGTTTAGTTTCCAGAGCTTAAAGTGATGAAAACATGAATTGTAAATTGAATTCATGGCACTGGAGCCAGCCATGTTTATTTAGCCCAGTAATGTGTTAATTAGTGCTAATGAGTCGGAGTCCTGTACCTGCCAAGAAGCTGCTGCTTGTTTGCTCCAGTCAGACAGCAGCTGATGGGGTTCTGTTCAGCAGAGAGGAAGAACGGGACCGGATCAGAACCGGAGCGGAACGTTAACCGTCGTCGTTTTAGTCTGTTACTCTTCCGTCTCTACAGTAATGTGATCGGTCTGGTTTGACATTAAACCGGCAGCAAACTGACCGTCTGACTCAGTGATCACAGCAATCAGCACCGATCTGATAGAAACAACAGCAAACATCAGCAGCGTTCAGTTATTAACGCTGAAAGAAAACTCCAGAGGAAGACGTTCTGTCTTCACAGGTTGTTTTTGTGTTTTTCCTCTAATAGGTGAAATTATCAGCGTCAGGCTGCTGCAGCGCTGCAGGTTATCATTTTAAAATCATAATCATCAACAGTCAGAACGTTTCAGTTAAACCTCCAGGGGATTATGGTCCAGCTAATAAAACACAATATTTATCCCATTAGTTTATTGGTTGTTCTGAATGGAACTTAAAAGGATAAAAACAAATAAAAGATCAAGTAGAAAGAAGTTGCAGTAAAAATCTTTGTTCCTTCATTAAATCAGCTGCTATTAATATTCACATCCCAAACAAAACATGAGCAACATGTTTTCATATTGTCACAATTTAATAAAACACACTGCATTACAGCAAATGTTTCCGTTTCATAAAAATCTCTAAAATCTAAAAAAATCATGTTGAAAAATACAAGAATAATCATCAATGAATCAAACATGAAGTGCTTTTATTTTGGAAGAACCTGAAATATCCTCACAGATTAAGAAACAAAGATGTTGAGTGAAGCTTGAACAGGAAGCTTGACTTGTTAATAAGTTGAATCTCTAGTCTTTAGAGTGCAAGATGGTTTTAATTGTTAATGTTTGTTGGGATTAAAACAAAGTTTTTGTCTGACTGATTTAAAATTAAACCAGAGAGGTTTTAATTTAACGTTAGTTTGACGTATTACATATTTTTACATTAGCAATCAGCAGCATTCACATCATGTCTGTTGTGTAAATGAAGGAATGTTTTTCAGTCGGTGTGAAAACGTCCAGGAATATAAAAAAGTTTTGCTGCTGAACAGATGAGTTTAATTTCTGCCGCTCTCTGATTATTGACCTGATCTGCAGGTCAGGATGACAGGAACTGTCTGACGGGTTTTTAATTTGTCATATTTTTGTCGCCTGCAGGCGTTGATGTGAACAAAGAGGGGGAATATAATGAGGTGATATAAATCTGGAGTAGAAATCGGTTTTATCTTAGTTCGTGTCCCGGTTGCCATGGGTTTTTTTAGAAAAATGAAATCAGGCCTGATTTTCTTTCTGCCATACGTTCTGGCACACACTGAACTGAAACTCTGCACCAATCAGATCCGTCCTGCGTGTGTGTGTGTGTTTACTTTTCCCGTGTTCCCCGGCAGCGTGTGTTGGGATCGATCTGGGATCGATGTGGCAGCTGCTGCACCAGCGCGGCTCGATCACAACACAACGAGCGGCTAGTTAAAGTTAAACGCAGCTTCTGAGGGGAAACCTGCCCACTGTCCCCTCCGTGCACAACCTGATGGGTTTAATGTCGAATGAAAGACAAACAGGCTTTTCTGAGCAGCGCGGTGCGTGTTTACACCAGCAGAATAAAGATTTTTCTAACGCACGGCGTTGCTGAGAGCAGCAGTTGGACGGATTTGTTGGAGTTAATCTGGGAAAATATGGGAAGCCAGAATCCTAATTTATCACAGGAAAGCTGATGATTAATGCGCTGTGAAGGCTCTGCCCTGGTCCATGCTGCTGTTTTCCAGTTAGCCGCCATCTTGAAACATTTCTGGTAGCTGACCAGAAACAGGAAAAGGATTTTATAATTTATTATCTGCTGAATAAGTTTCTGTTGCATATTCACACGAAGGAAAGAATGTAAAAACACAAAGTAAGAATACGTTTGTAGACTAAAGTCCAAATTTACAACATATGAAAATCATACTGTAGTTATTAAAAATAAATTGCAACTGATCATTTGTGTATTTGTTACAGAGGCAATTAGTGTGAAAAAAAAGTATGCAGACTATTAGTTCTGGTATAAAAGTTGAAATTCTGAGGAAAAAATGTAAAATTTTGAGATCATTTTTGTTCCCTGTGGGTCAAATATTCTGCAGTTATTAAAAATAGATATTGAAAACAAGGCAACTTTATTTGTGTAGCACATTTTCAGCAACAAGATAATTAAGACAGTTAGAAGTAAAATAAAACATTTTAGTGACAAAGTACAGAAAAACAATGACAAACTACACTTTGATTCATCAGTTGTCAGCGGCTTGATTTACAGGAACTCAGTTTGTTTTATAAACTAACAGAAATATTTTAAAGTGTATTCTCTGACTCTTTAGGCAGACCAGTGAAAACACTGTTGCAGTAACAAATGCGACTAAAGATAAAAACATGGATGAGTTTCCCTATATCTTTCTGCGACATTAGTTCCTAACCGTGAAAATGTTTGTCAGCTGACGGAAGGCCGACTTTGCAATATCTTTATGTGGCTCTGAAGGTTCAGATTCAGACCTGATCTTTGGTTTCCAGCTGTAACACCCGAAGCTGAGCTGATTCTGCATCGTTCCTCTCTAATAACTTCAGTTTCTGTTCAGATGGAGAAAGTAATGACCCCCAGGCATTGATTAGTTTGAAGAATCTGATCACTGATTGGATGGTTCATGATCACACAGTAAACACTTTGCAGCCTGAGGTACTTTGCTGTAAAACAGCCCCAACAAAATTCTATTTTCTTTATCTAGAAGAAAAT